CAGGGGCTGGCATAGAACAGTGCTCAATAAACCGCAGATCTTATGTCACTGGGGCTGGCCACGAGGCTGGTGCTTGCTTCACGTATAGCACGCATGCCATATGCTTTTTGAGTACAATCATTTACTTAAGGGAGCAGAAATGTGAAATGCAACCCTTGACATACCCCCCCCCACCCCCATGGACGGGGCTTGGTGGGAGGGAACCCCTGGCTAGGGCTGGAATTGGCCTAGGCGACTGAGTTACAGAGAGACTTGGGAATCCAAACGGCGACACTGGACTTTCCTTCCTCTAAGGATAGTGTTCAGGAAGGCAACTCCTACCTTGAACACCTTCATGTTTCCCTGAGTGAATCGATCCTGGAAGCCACTGTCTTCCCCTTCCCTGGGGTCTAGGATGACTAGCCAGCCCTGGGGGAGTGGCCAGGGGTGGGAGGAGCCACATAGGACCCCCAAGGCAGGTGCTGGTCAGATTTCTGCTGTTCCAGACCCTCCCTACCCCATCTCTTCACAGGGGCCATGGAGCACTTGAAATGTAGCTGGTGCCACTCAGGAACTGATTTTAAATTTAATTTCATTGTACTGAAATTTAAAAACTGATATCCAATTCAGTTCTAGGAAAACTTGAAAGTATATTTGAAACAAATTGAGGATGTGACTCTGTTTTCTCAACTGTAAATTTAACAAAATCTAAAGACAGACCAAGTATTTTGGATAACAATTTAATATCTGAATTGGGCTGTAGGTGTAAACTTCTCACAGGATTTCAAAGGTGCAAATGTCTCTTAAAAATTTTTTTTAATATTTATAGATGAAATTATACTATTTTGGACATATTGGGCTAAATGAAATATATTATTAAAATTAATTTCACCTGTTTCTGTTTGTTTTTCCAATGTGGCTGCTAGAAAATTCTAAAGGTACAGATGCGCCTGGCGTGAGCTTTCTTTTGGGCAGGGCCGTCTGGGCTCACCGAGGTCTTATTTCTTCTGACCTCCCCCTCAGGCCTAGCCCTTTGGCCTCCTTCTCCGTCTTGCCTGCTCCTTGGTTCTGGCACATGTTCAGACCAGTCCAGGTGCAGAAGCTGAAGGTGAGACCCACTCCTGTGAGGGAGCACGGGGCTGGGAGTGGCCGCCCTGGCCACAGGCCTTCTGGAGTGGGTGGTATACCTGGGATGGTAGGTGGTCGGGATAGGAGTAGTCTGGGGGTGGGGTAACGATCTGAGGCAACACCCTGCTCTGAGAAGACCTCAGTAACCAGTGAGGGACAGAAGGAACTCAGAGGACAAGACAGAGACCCAATTTCTACCACCAGGACTCAAAAAGAGGGCTTGGTCACATGACTAAGCTAAGCACCTAATTACTCCAAAGAAGTGCAGAGCAGCTCAGCAACAAGCTTGACTTAAGCCTTAAAATCTGAACTGCTACCTGAGGGTGCCAGAGTTTCACTAATCAAGGGACAGACAGGCCTGGGCCTGCATTTGCAGCACAGCCCTGGCCTGGGCTGGGAAGTTCAGGGAGGAAGCCAGACAGGGTGCCCCCTCTGGCCAAAGCCCTGACTCCACAGTCGCCCCAGTGCCCAGCCTGGGTCTGGACTTGGGTTAGCCCACACCTGGTCCCTGTGACTCATGGCATGAGCCAGTGGGTAAGTTCTGCCTCTGCTCCCAACTAGGCAGCCCAAATATAATGCGACCAGAGGGCTCGGACTCAGGAGCCAAAGGCATCTGAGCGATTCAAGCAGGATCCTGGTCGTCCACCTGCCTTATATCCCATTACCCCTTAAACTCCAAGATTACACAAGTGGCAGGCTGCCCAGGCCAAATTCTGTGTCTGTCCCAATCATTGATTCACTAAAACACAAAACCGGGTCAGGAGGGGTTATGCAGCCTTTGGGTACGAAACAGCCGGCTGCCTGAACTGTGCTGGCGGCGTTGCTATCCAAACAGGACAGAGCGCAGGCCCCTTGACCACAGGGAAACAGCCCTGCAGTGGGTTCTGCTACACTTCGAAGTTGAGACTGCTTTCAGGTTAGTGTGGCTGTCATCCTCCTTCCCCAGTGACACTGAGTCCTGGCTCTCTGGAGTAAGAGGGGTTTGTTTGCGGGCCTCAGCCCTTGGCCCCTCTGCAGGCTTGCTTTGGTTTTGGCTTGACAACCTAGGAACTCCTCTTGTGTGGTTATTCTTGGGGACAAAACTTTGAGAGGAGAGACACTGACACAAATATTGTAAAAGGGCTCTCTGAGGCTCAGTTAAGGCCATTTTATCTCGTGAAACATGTGCGTGTACCAAGCTAAATGCTATGTTTTTAAAAATGTCTTTTAAAACATATTGTAAAAGCCAATAAAATTGCGGAGATGTCACTCAGGGCAAGACTGGCAGACTTTCAGGCCAAACTATTGCAGAGAGTCCCACCTTTACCCAGAAGCCCCGCTCCCAAGGGCTCCTGCAGAGAACACCTCAAGAGAATAACGGGGGAGGTCCACTGTGTTTTCGATTAGACAGCAATGGGGTACTGTCTGGTTTTATTAGAGCTAAGGAATCATCGATTCAAGTCAGAAGCAGTACAACTGCCATGTTAGAAAGATTAGTTCCCAACGGCCCAGACCATGACTTGGTGGAGGCCCCTTTAAACGGCTCCTGGTACCACGAACCTAATCTGGGGTTCCCACTCTCAGACATGGCCACCTCAACTTTCGGGCCTTGTCACAGTCATTGGGTAGGAGACCCAGCACCAAGATCCCTCTCAGCACCATGTCTGCTAGAAAGAGCAACCACACGGTCCCTAAAAGGGTGGCGCTCCTCTTAACCACCCGTCATGGAAGCCAAGAGGGGCCTGGAAGGACCTCAGTCCCATCTTTATCAGTTGGGAGGCAGAACGAAAATCTCAGTCAAGAAAGACCTTCTCTCTTGAACTATTCACAGGAAATACTGAAGGTAATAAAAAAAATGTGTAAACCATCCTTTATACCAGAGGCTTGCCAACTCAAATGCCCACCACCAGGACCAGGACCAGGACAGGTGCAGTAGAGGGGTGGGGGGAGGGGCTCCAGTGTGAGGGGTGGAATCGCAGTAAAATGGAGATGATGGCATGCCTGTCCTCCCCCCAGAAAACAAGCTTTTTCAGGTGCAATCTCCCAAATTTCAAATATTGGCAACGAACTCATAAGTTTCTAAATACAGCAGAGACTGCTGCCTTGTGACTTCTGCCATAGATAATTTTCTAACTTAAGAAAAGCTCCCTTACCCACCAAATAATAAAATTCTAACCAAATCATTACAAAGACATTAATGGATAAATAGAAAAATATAGTGGCTTCAACAATACCAGTCCCCCTATTTTAAAACAAAATCAACAGTAATTCATTGAGTTCTTTCTTGTATAAAAGAAAGTCAGCTGGGTCCTTCTACTGGTGAGAGTTTGGCATTATTAAAATGACACATGCTGCCGGCCAGCATGGCTCAGCGGATTAAGCGTGGTCCCATGGACTGAGAGGTCCCAGTTTGATTCCTGCCAGTGCACATGCCCAGGTTACGGGCTCGATCCCCAGTAGGGGGCATGCAGGAGGCAGCCGATTGATGTTTCTCACTTCAGTATTTCTCTCTCTCTCTCTCTCTCTCTCTCTCTCTCCCTTTCTGTCTCTAAAGAAATCAATAAAAACATATTAAAAATAAAAAATTAAATGACACATGCTGTCAACCCACCCCGAGTAAGATGCCATCCTGCCTGCCCTCACACCAACAGGGATTAGGCTCCTTACTGAAGAGAAGAAATGAAGGCATAGAGCAGCAAGGGTCCTCTTTAACAGAGTCCCCTCAGTCACAGAGGAGCAGAAATAACTCAAGAAAGCTATGCAGCACCTGGCAGAATGCTGGGCAAATAGCAGGCACAACTGCGTGTCTGCTGAGTAAATCACGCGTGAACAAACGAATTCAGCTACTTCCCTTAGATAGTACTCCCTACTAGGGAAAACCAGGAGCTATCCTCGCTATTCCAAAGACTGGATTTTTCCAGGGGCAGGCAAGGAAGACAAGGGAGGTAATGCAGAGTTTCCTCTCTGAGTGAACTGATGGCCTTCCTGGCTTTTAAGAGAACATCACTGACCCCGTCTGATTCATAAACGGAGAAAAAGGGATTCAGGTACTCAGCACCTCTAGGCTGGGTCGGCTTTGACGTTGGATTAGGACCCGAGATTGAGATCGAGTCCTATGCCCTTGAATTAATCCTAACTATCCTTCTGTTTGGTGCCACGGACAGTTCCCAGCATCCTGATTCTCAAAGGAACTTGGCACAGAAAGTCAATGTCAACACGAGGAAGAAAGAGGGCCCTTTCTTCTCAGGGGCATGTAAGGCTATTTCTCTCCGGGCTTGCAGCACACCGAGCATTTCAGCCCTGGCCTCCAGGCCCCCAAGCGGCAGTGCAGTCTTTATTCTGGCTTGCTCAGGAGCCAAGGTCCAAGGAAGCCCAACCCTCTCTGCTCTGGGGGACTCTTCCTAGAATTTGACAGGGAGAAGAGATTGGCTTAGCCAGAGTTTCTCAAAGGTGCCATGATTGGCATTTTGAGTGGAACATTCTGTGCTGTTGGAGATTGTCCTACACAATGTGAGATGTCCACTAAATGCCAAGGGTGCCCCACAGTCACAATGACCCTTGCAACACACACACACACGCACACACACACACACACACACACACACACACACACATTTCTACTGCTGCCTGGAGGAGTAGCCTGGCCCCTGGTTGAGTGACAGGTCTAAGACCTCCCCTCTCCCCAACCTGATGAGTTGAGGTCTTTCCAGCTGCGTTTGAAATGATGGATGCTCATGCACACACCATGGGATGCCACAGCACTGCAGAGCCTCAAAATAGGCAGCCATCTGTCTTAGTGGCATAGAGAAACCAAGGCACAGAGAGAAAAAACAACCTCACTGTGACCAGAGTGACCAAATGTGAGGCTGGGGGTAAGTTCCCAGATGACATGATACATTTTCCTAGGTCCAGCTCAGCTTAGCAAGTCCCGCTGCTTTGCTGGTAACAGTCAGTGCCTCAGCCCCGTGGGAGTGTGGTCTTCGTAGTGGCCACCATCCAAAGGTCAGCGTGGAGCCCTAGGGGCGCAGTGAGGAGGAGCCAGCCCCCAGTCTGCAGGTCAGAGCTGGAGCAGCCCGGGCTTCCAGACTTCAGCTCGCATCTCCAGCGGGCTCATCGGGCATGTGGATAGCTCTCTCACCGGCTACCGACCCCTTTCCAGGACCCTCCCAGTCTCCATTGGAAAGCACGGCTGTCAGCACCAGCTCCTCCTCGGGTTCCTGGACGTTACCTGGAACACAAGAGAGGAAATCATCCAATCAGAAGATAAAGACTAGGAGTGAGTAAGCTAGGAATGGAAGGGAGGAAATTGGCCCCGGTGACTATCTACTTAAAAAACACACAAAGTACATATCAAAAACCTTAAAAATGTACATACCCTTCGACCCAGCAATTCCACTTCTAGGATTTTATCCTAAGGAGATAATTAGGAATAATTAGTGGAAATGCTGCGGCGATCTTGCTACCAGACTAAGGATGAAACAACACGAGGCTGGCCCCTCGGAGAGAAGGAAAGAACCTAAGTCCTTGAGGGGGTCCCTGGACCCCTGAATCAACCAGCCCTGATACTGAATCCACTTAGATGTTCTTTTAGGTGAGATAATAAATGTCCTTGCTAGTTTGAGTCATAGTTTCTTTCCTGTAACTGAAATCAGTTACATGCTACTCATTCAAAGTCCAACAAAGGGATTGGATGAACTAACTGGCTTACCCACATTATGGGATTCAGGCATTCAAAAGGATGTCTAAAGTTTCATAGAACTAAACACACACACACACACACAACTACAAGTAAAATTGGGGAAATCTGAATAAGATTTGTGGATTATTTCCATGACAATATCCCAATTGTGATATTATCTTACAGTTTTGCAAGATGTTACCACTGGGGGAAACTGGGTGAAGTGTACACAGGGTCTCTTTGTATGATTTCTTACGAGTGCATGTGAATCTATGATTACCTGAAAAAAACCCATAAAAGATGTTGTTGACATTTAATTATGGCCGTGGAATACTGCATAGTCACAATATATTATTGATGAAGAAAGCAGATTCCAAAAATGTCTGTATAAATGTTTGTATGTATGTATGTATATTATCCTTTATATTATAAATGCATATGCATAGTCTATTAATGCAATTTGTATTTCAATACATTCAATTCTACAGAAGATTAGGCAATTTGTAATATGCTACAGAGAAAAGTTATCTAATATTTACACCATATTATTTGATTCCTTTTTTCCTTCAGTTTCCAGATACATCCAAAATGGTGATGGAGAGGTCAAAGTTAACATCTTTGCAATTAAATATTTTAAGTATCTGATGCAGATGATTTATATTCTATATAGAAGTAAATTTATTAAAATTTAAATAGTACAAGGAGATATAGATAGACAGATGGATGAATGGTCTACACCAAATGGATTTGTATTTACCTTGAGTGATGGAATTAAGTGAATGCTTTTTTTAATATTTGTGTTTCTTTTTTTGTATTTGCTGAGCTTTCAGGTAGGTAGACTTCTAAGACGGTCTCAAAGATGCCCACCCTTTGGTGTACTCAATCTGTATAACCCTCTCCTTTGGGTGAGGGTAAGATCGGTGACTTTGGTAGGATAGTCACTCCCTTGGTTTGGGTACTTTTTATGACAAAGGTGACTGAGAGTCACTCCTGTGATTATGTTACATTATAGGAGCCTAGAGAGTCCCTGTCAATGGAAAGACTACCTGTCTGTGAGCAGAGGGAACTGGAGGGCCTCATGGAGCTGACAGCCAGCAAGACGGCGGGGACCTCAGTCCTACAGATTCTGCCAACAACCAGGTGAGCTTGAACAAGGACCCAGGCTCCAGAAAGGAACGGAGCCTCCCACCTTGAGGCAGCTTTGCGAAGCCCTGAACAGAAGGCCCTATTTTAGCCCCGATGTGCCTCAGTGGTTGAGTGTCAACCCATGCACCAAGAGGTCACCGGTTTGATTCCCGGTCAGGACACATGCCCAGGTTGTGGGCCTGATCCCCAATGGGGGGCATGTAGGAGGCAGCTAATTGATGTTCTCTCTCATTGATGTTTCTATCTGTCTCTCCCTCTCCCTTCCTCTCTCTAAAAATCAATAACGAAAAAAAAAGCATTACTCACTTTTTCTATAACAAAGGTATACAGTTTAGTACACTCTAGGGGTGGGGTCATGTACATTCAACTGCTTACAACCTACTCCCTGAGGACAGTCATGGCCCTGTAACGATGTTTTGGTCAATGATGGACTGCATATACAATAGTGGTCCCGTGAGATTATAATGGAGCTGAGAAATTCTGATGGTGATGCTGGAGCAAACAAACCTACTGGCTGCCAGTCATATAAAAGTGGAGCATGTACAAGTATGAACAGTACAGAATACTTAATAATGATAATAGACGGCTGTGTTACTGGTTTATGTCCTGACTATACTTTTATCGCTATTTTAGAGTGTACTCTTTCTACTTGCACCATTTGCTCTTGTGTTTGATTTAATCCCGTGTCGTTTAGGACAGTGATGTGCTACACAGGCTCGAAGCCTAGGAGCAGCAATAGGCTATCCCACACAGCCAAGGTGTGTAGCAGGCTATACCGTCCAGGGTTGTGTAGGTGCATGCTATGATGTTCGCACAGCCACAAAACCACCTAAGGTGCATTTCTCGGAACGTATCCTCGTGGCTAAGCAGCAAACGACTGTAAGTGCTGTCTGGGTCACCACACAGCCTATGGAGTGCCTCTGTGGACTTTGCTATCTTCCCCTTTTCCTTCTCCCTCGCCTCCATTTAGCAACCTGATGATCCTACCCTAGAAATGGCTCCAGGGCTGGCAAGCTCCTTCCTCTCCATTCCAACACTGCCGCCCTTGGGCCCAGGCCACCTGTCGTCTCTCCTGGGTCTATGCAGTCCCCTCCTAGCTGGGCTCTGCCTCTGGTGGCTCCCATCTCCTACAGTGAGTCATGTCTCTAAGCACAGCCTTGCTCAGAAATCGCCAGTGGTTCAATTCTCCTGAGACTCAGGTCCAGGGTCGCCATGTGGTCCCAACTCTCTGCTTCAGCCTCAGCCCTCACCAGTCTCCTTCTGCACCCCTGGCACTCTTGACCGGGGTCCCTTTTCTGAGCATGACATTACGCTGTCAAACCTTTATAATGCTCCCTCTTCAATTTTTACTATTCTTGCCTAAGAAAACTCCCCAACCCCTCTCAAATGTTACATGCTCCGTGGAACCATGCATCTGGCTCCATGTGCCTTGCCATGCACATGGCCTACACCTGCGTGACAGCCCTGCCCACACCACCTTCACTAGGTGGAGACTCCTGGGCTAGAGCCTCGTTGACTGAGACTGTGCTGCCTCCTGGTATCGAGGGCACCTCACACTGCTCACCCCCACCTTGCACACATGGCCAGTGCTCCATGGATGTCGGTCCTCTCTCTCCCTAAGGTCCCTGTGCATGTGACCACTCCCATAATCCCAAGCACCCAGCCTTCAGAGTCCAGGAGCAGGAAGCGACACACTCACCCTGAGCTGGGCCACTGGAGGAGGTGGCATATGGGTCCTTTCCCCGGCTCCAGGAACCCCAGGAAAAGCACGCCAACAGCGCCGGGAGGCCGGGTCTTCCCCAGGCTCCTTCTGCTAGAAGGAACACAAAGTTTAGAGGCAGAGGTCACATGGTGCTTGACATCACTGAGAGATTTTCTGTTCAGTAAACCAAGAGCTTCAACTGTCAACTGCCCTAGTTTCAACTGTCTGATTAAAAACAAAGATTCTGATTTGCAAAGGGGTGGAGTTTTTGTACTTAAAACAAAAGCAGGGCCCCGGCCGGGTGGCTCAGTTGGCTGGAGTGTCGTTCTATACATCAAAAGTTTGTGGGTCTGCCCTGGCCAGTTTGGCTCAGCAGTTGGGGCGTCGGCCTGCGGACCAGAGAGTCCCGGGTTCGGTTCCTGCTAGGGGCACGTACCAAAAAAAAAAAATTTGTGGGTCTGATTCCAGTCAGGGCACATACCTAGGTTTCGGGTTTGAGTCCCTGGTCGGGGTACCTGCAGGAGACAGCTGATTGATGTTTCCCTCTCACACTGATGTTTCTCTCTCTCCCATCCTCTCTAAAATCCATAAAAACATATATCCTTGGATGAGAATAAAAAAGAAAATAAAATGAATCAAAAAGAAAAGGATTGCTTTATGTTTAATAACCATTTCATCCTCAAGAAAACCCTGTGGTGTAGGTACATGTTGAAACGACCGTGACAAGAATGGCATGAAAGGAATTGTAGTTCCCCAGCGCTGAAGAAAATACTCACGGAGCAGTAATTCCCCTGATTTCTGGTTCAAACTATTTCTTAATATGAATAGATTTAATCTTTTTTAGTGGTCACACACAAAACACTTATATGTTGATTCTAGTTTCCTTATTATAGTACCATCTAAGTTATCTGGGGATCACCCAAGAGCCTCAAGCATCTGGAATAAGGTAATTGCAACAAAGTTAAAGATGGGTGGGGGGGTCCCGGCAGCCAAAACACAGAAAATCCCTGTTAATTTTTTTTTTTTTTTTTAAACTCAGGGCTTACTTACTACTTTTAAAAAAAAAATCCTTACCCAAGGATATTTTTCCATTGATTTTTTTAGATAAAGTGGGAGAGATGGATAGAGAGAGAGAAACACCGATGTGAGAGAGACACAGAAACACATGGATTGGTTGCCTCCTGTAGAACCCAGACCAGGGATCGAACCTGCAACCCAGGTCTGTGCCCTTGACTGGGAATTGAACCAAAGATTCTTTGGTTCTCTGGCCTGTGCTCTAATCGCTGAGCCAAACCGGCCAAGGCTATTAACTCTATTTTCAACCCAAAGGCAGCTGGATTGGGCATAGTCTGGGTAAAAGGGCATGACAGGAGGCAGGCAACCTAAAAGCATAAGAATAGTCATGAGGCACTGAGGAAGCAGATTGGGAGACTAAAAAGCCAGACACAATTGCTAGCAAAACCTTAGCAGTCTGGTGCCACCTACTGCCTGGTGTGGCTCACTGCAAAAGTCTGGGAGAAATTAGTGGACAATGAGTTATAATTACACTCATGACCTTTAGTCATTAGTGAAAGATTTCATATTGTTTAGTATGTTTTTATAAAAGTAGAAATGAGTTAAATGCAGTAGAGATCAATTCAGTGTTTAAAAAGGGGCAAGGTTTCTGCATGCCGGGCAGGTGCCAGGAGAGGGGATTATGGTGTTGATTAAACTCATAAGGGAAAGTGACAAAACCATGTGGTAAGAGATTAGAGCGTGGAGGCAGTTTTGGGATTTCACTTTTGAACTTGCAAAGAAGTAAGGTGAGTCAAGAAAGACTTCCTGGAGGAGGAAATCCAGTTCTGAATGTTGAGATGGCATTGGTCAGGTGAAGAGGAGGAATAAAAGAAAAGGCTTTCAAGGCTTTTCATTCGAGGAAACTGCAATGTGTGTACAAAAGCTTAGGAGGCCAGAGCAACCGTGGCTCTGGTGAATTAAAAGCTATTCCTTGGGAATGAGAGAGGACTAAGAAATTAAGGGCTCAGAATTTTCCAGGCACGAGCTCATTAGGGGAGAAGGAAATTTTCTCCCATGGGGCCAGGTCAGCAAAGGGGCTGGCATCAACTATCAGAATGACAATCCATCTCAGGACATTTCCCCCTGTCTTTCAGGATGCAGGTTGTGGAGTTTCAAATTTAGCCAGCTTCCTCATAGATGCAGTAGAAAGGGCTTATGGGTATGGAGGGAGAAGTTAGGGCAGGTTCTACAGCTGAGGTGGATGGCCTTCACTCAGACAGGCCAGGCTGACAGGTAGGTCTGCGACATTTGTGACATCAGAGGTATTAGGTCTCCTTGCTGGAAAAGCGACCCCCTCCTCCCCCGCAAGTCTGGCATCTTCAGGATGCTGATTAACACACAGTGCCCAGGAGTCAGAGCACAGCTTGTCTTCACAGGAAAGCTTGGCAGAGGCTGGAGGGAAGGCCGGAGGGCTCGGAGAAGAGCAGGTGCTGGGGGCGGGGGGAGCAGGGAGCGCAGGAGCACTTCCGCGTCTCCCAGCTTTGCCAGATCCAGCTTAATGTCTGTATTTTAATCCGAGGACACTGGGAAGCTCCTGGGAAACTGTGAACCAGGATGGAGGAGATTCTGACTCTTCTGCAGATGGCAGCAGAAAAAGACCCTCACTCTCCTCCCCAAACTTCAGGAGAGTGTGGAGGGAAGGGGAGGGAGGCACTTCCGGGTAGCAAAGAGGGTCTAGAAAATTCTGTGCCCTCAGTCAGTCCCTCACACCCTTTCCTCGCTCCTCCAAGTCCCGGCATCTATTCCTTGCCTTCCTCCTCTGACCCCGCGGCTTACACACTGAGCCTCCTCCACCTCCGCGTCCTTAGCTACGCAGCGGTCCTAGGAGCTCCTGGCAACGCCAATCTCTTCCCTCCGGTCCCAATTGGGTCCTAATCCTGCCTCGAAATGTGCGAAACCCAAGGCTTTCCCATCTCCTCCCTCGTCTCCCTGCCCCCAGCTCCCAGATTTTTGACCAGCCCAGTACAACCCTCTCTCTCCACCAACTTCCTCTGCCTCTGCTCCTCGCCTCGGCTTTCCTAAACCCCTGTCCCCTGTGCATGAAGGATCCTCCCGGGAGCGACTCGACCCCTGGCCCAGGGCCTGCTCCGGCTAGCTGGGAGGCCCAGTGCTAGGTACCTCCCTTCTCGGGGCCTCAGTTTACCTCGGTGCACCGCGAGGGAAACTGGCCTAAAGAGTCCCACCTTGGGAGCCTTACCCCAACCGCCCCCGCCCGCGCTCTCCCGGGCCTTGCACCCCCTCACCTGGTCGCGCGGGCCCGGCGGCTTGCAGGGCCCTGCTAGCGGCCGCCTTGACGGCCAGGCTGGAGGCAGGGTGGCCGGGGCAATAGGCAGCCGCCTGCACCGGGCCTCCCGCCTGGCGACCGAACACGGTGCGCAGCAGCGCCTCCAGAAGCCGCAACATCGGAGCCGCCGCGTCCTCCGGCCCAGCCTCGGCCACCAGCACCCCAACCAGCGCCACGCCGGCCGCCCGCCGGTCGCGGACGTCCCGCAGCATCTCCCGCAGGCGGCGCCGAGGCTCCCTGGCGGCCAGCGACGACGCCCGGCACAGCGCGAAGACGAGCGGCGAGCGGATCGCGCGCGTCCTGGCCGTGCCCGGCGCCCACCGCGCCCCCGGCGCCCCCAGCCCGGCGCCCTCGGCCACCGCGTCGCCCGATTTGCCGGCGGCTCGTTCCGGCGGGAACACCGCCCGGGCGAAGTCCCGCAGCAGGGCCCGGCTCTGCTCGCGCTCCCACAGCTCGCCCACCAGCAGCACCTGCCCGCGCCCGCCCGCCGCCTCCAGCAGCGCTTGGAAGGGGGGCTCGGCCGGGAGCGCGGGCCGGGCCGCCAGCGCCTCCAGCTCGCGCTCCATGCTCGCCGCCGCCAGTCCTCTGCGGCCGCCGCAGCCAGGCCGACCTCCCCGAGCGGTGGCGCACGGCCCCAGGAGGACACGCCCCCGAGGGCTGCGCCCGGCTCGACCCTCAGCCGGCGGCCAGGTTCTCCATCCTCCAGCCCCGCGCTGGGCAGGCGGCGGGGGCTTTCCTCCCCAGCCCTCTAAGAGTTGCGCCTCCCCCAGTGCCTGTGGCTGACCTGGTCAGGGAGGGCAGCCATCTGAGCCGTGCGTTCGTCCCTCCCTCCCTCCGTTTACCCATCCATCCAACAAATACTTATTGAGCACCTACTGGGTTCAGGGCAGCAAAAGGGGGAGGAAAACAGTAAATTACCATGTGAACAAATATACCTTCACAAATTAGATTATGTTGAGACCTGAAGCAGATATGTCTGAGGAGTTCACATGATTTGGGGACAGGAAATTTTAGAGTCAGGGCCTGCCCCTAACTGTGCTGCTTTGGAGTGGTGGTGGTGGTGGGCACCAGAGCAGGGGGTAAGGAGCCGAGAAAAGCGAGGAAGCAGGGTTTCTTCTATTACTCTGTCACTTACCTCACCTTTTGGGCCTTCAGCATTTAACAAAAACAAATTGAGGGCTCACTGTTTCAATTAATACTTATCATCGGCACTGGGGGGAGGGGGGATAAACTAAAAAGGCAGAGGATACTGTTCCCTGTGGAGCACAAAGTCTAGGGGTGCAGAAGTGGGGCACTGATGGTGCTCTGATCTCTGTTGGGGGGATAAAGGAGACAGGAGGATATCAGTAGGCCAGGTCAGAAGCAGGAATGCATTTCCTTTAATTCTAAGGGTCTAGGTCAGCTTTGTGCAGTAGATGATTCTGTGGTGATGGAAGTGCTTTATATTATCTGTACTGCCCAGTGAGGTAGCCACTAGCTCCATGGGGCTGTTCCTGAGTGCCTGAAGTCTGGCTAGTGCACCTGAGGAGCTGAGCTTTACATTTTATTTCACTTAAGTTAAATGTAAATAGCTGCAGGTGGTTAGTGGTTGCGTTATTGGACAACAGTAGTCGAGGCTCTTTACTTTCCCTCTCTTACACAGTATAGACCAAAGGCCCTCTAGGTCAAGAACATGCTAGTACTCAGCTCTCACCTTTACCATATAACCCCCCACCTGCTCTTCTAGTTACCCTGTCTTGACGCCTGTAATTATGCTGACCATCTCCTCTTGGAGAGTGTGTATGTCCATTCTATAAAACAAACCCTTTTTGAGTACCACCTGTGTGCAGCCAGTGGATATTCAGAATACATAAGCAGCCCTGCCCTAAGTCTGATTATCCAGCACTTGTTTTGGCCAATGCTTGGGGGAAGGACCCCATATCTTTGTTAGGGTTCTAGTTAATATGACCTCTTGCCTCTGTGTGCTGACTTTGCCCAGAGTGAAGATCCAGAGGCTTGGGTGGGAAAAGCCCAAGAGTCGAAGCCAGCCACCTTGGGCCGGAATTGAGGATGGGTTCCAACACCTGCTCCGTGATTCAGTCACTCCATCTGTGTCTATTGAGCATCACATCTGTATTCCAGGCAGCTGGATGGTGGAGGGCTGGGGATGGAACAAAAATCGGATGGACTTGAGATTTCTTAACAGCAACACACTGGACTTAAGAAGATAGTTGGATACTATTTGTAAAGAATCAAAGATGAAGAACTTCGAAACTGGGTTTTGATTCCTAACTAAATGATCAGGTGTTTAAAGAATGAGAAGGCTTATCACATAGAGGCCCTCTTTGAAAACACTGCTGGAGAAAGCACTCCAACATGAAGAGAAGTAAATGCCATAGGCGTGTTCAACAATAGCGAGTAGAAGGATTAAATCACTTGTTTAAATGATGCTTGTCCAAGGAAATGGTGCAATGCAGTGCTGGCAAAGCACAGCTGGGTGGGCATAAGCTGAGAGGTGCAGAGCCATGGAATCTTATGCATGGAAAGGGAATTGACCCCATTGAAGTCACCTTTTTGAGGAAGACATCGCAGCTAACTAGGGAAGAACTCTCAGAGGTGCCGAGAGTTCTCTTAACAAGGCTTGTCTACAACTCACATGCCCTGTCTCTTTATTCTCCGGCTCCAAATTTCCAGCTTAACGATCCCAATCTTTCTAGTGATGGGATGGAGGATGGTTCAGAGAAGGGGTGGATGTTAAACAAAGGTCAGAGTCCAGGGCCAGTGGAGTTTATCTTTACCTGTGTTATTTACATGGTGAAGGTTCAGGTATTAATTAACAGGAAACTACAAAGACCTTAAAAAAAAAGGCCGTATGCCAAGAATATTTCTTCCTCCTCTCTGTCAATGCCCTAGAAAAGATCAAACAAATAAGCATTTTCTGATTTCCCTAGTTTTCAACAGAGATATAAAGAAAAACTAGGGTTCTGGCCGGTTTGGCTCAGCGGTTAGAGTGTCGGCCTGCGGACTGGAGAGTCCCGGGTTTGGTTTCCCCTAAGAGCATGTACCTTGGTTGCAGTTTGTCCCTAGACCCGGTTGGGGTTGTGTAGGTGGCAGCCAGTTGGTGTATCTCTCTCATATCGATGTTTCTCTCTCTCTCTTCCTCCCTCCCTCTTTCCCTTGCTATCTGAAGATGAATGCAAAAATGTCCTTGGATGAGGACAAAAAAAGAAAGAGAGAGAGAGAAACTAGGATATCTGAAACAATTTGCTTATTCACAGTCACTCAAGCAGAACCTGGTAGGAAAAGTATTGATTTGGAAAACAAGGACTAACCTTGGTCTAGTTCCTGGTACCTCCCTCTTTCTCCTTTTTCTCCCTCTCTTTCATCCTATTCTCCTTCCTTCCACCTCCCCTTCCCTTCCCTTCCTCATCTCTCCCCTCTCCCATCTTTCCCTTCCCCTGTCCCCACCTTTGCCTTTTTCCTTTTCCATCACTCTTTCTTTTCTCCCTCCACACGCTCTCTTTTCCCCTAAGACAATTGTTCTGGGAGCTACAAAAAATGTGGGATTTGGGGAGACTTTATGGGCTTCCTGGGGAGCCAGATCGAGGAAAAAAGATCTTAAATGTGAGGGAGAGCCTGCAGGGGAAGGACACCCATGGAGCCCCGGACCCACAGAGGAACGAGGCCCCTGGGGGGAGGTGTGCAGGATGTTTCGGGCCTGGCTCTGACAAGCGGCTGGGAGCTGGGCAGTGAAGCAGCCCCTCTGGGCCGTGTCCTGGCTGCTGGAGGACCAATCAGGGCCCCACTGTGCTAGGACTTCAGCTTTTCATGGTGGAGGCAGAACAGTGTTCCCTTCTTCCCTTCTAGGTTCTTTGGTTGTTCTAAGAATCGGAAAGACCTAAAATAAATGAACATGAGAAAAAACATTTAATTGCATGCGTATGGGAGCCCCACCAAGAGATGAAACTCAAAGGCAATTGCGGCCTCTGAGCAATCCTGAGCAGAGGAAGGGGTAGGGCCTGGGCCTTGCAGGGCAGGAGGGCCAGTCACGGGAAGGTGAGAGGAATGGATGTTTGGCAATCAGATATTCACCCTGCTGTGCAGATATTTTTTAGATTAAAAAAAAAAGTTATCTCCAGTAGTAGCTCTCTTGCTGGTACAGCCCCCCTGTCTAAATTCTTTCAAGCAGTTTAGGAGGGGGTAAAAAGTTTTTCCTGATTCTGCTGGGTCTTGATGGCTTTGGGCTCAAAGTCATCCATCGGCCAGGTTCCCGTCAGGCCACTGGGCATGCAGATCTCTGTGACAGCTGGGGTTCATGTGGGGGTCAAGCATCTCAATTTTATCAGAATTTTAGGGGTTTAATGAAGGTTTGTTAAGAAGGGTGGGAGGAAACACTGTGAGCCACAGGCCCTAGTTAAACCCCCACTGTATCCTTGCCCAGCCCAGGATGGGTCAGCAGTGTTGGGAGGAGAGGTGGTAGGCCCCCAGGGCGCACCTGTACTGGCTAAGGGAGTGGACGCAGGGGACAACCCTTCATCAGCAGAAACGTATACTCAGATCGTTCTGTAAACATCCTACCCCATCCCACCCCCACCCATGCACCGAGGAGCACTTGGCAGAGGACCGGGGAGGAACAACTGCAAGAACCTCTGTGCAAAGTGGGGGACCAGCCAGCTCCGCTTGGCATCAGGAGCAGGTGACAAGCTCTGCAGAGCAGGAGCAGCACTTGCATATCTCCAGCCCAGGACAGCGTTGGCCAAATGCAGCCTCAGAGTGCAAACTTGGGAAGGGTGTCTGCACCTGCCACCCTGCCCGTGGTCTCAAGGTGACTTCAAGGGGACCTGGCAGCATCTGAGTCTCTGCAGAGCAGGGAGGGGAACAGCAGCTGACCTGTGCTGCGAGGACATATGGTGGTGACCTTGAAGCCACTCAACTTGGTCCTCCTTTAAAATTGGCCTGGTCAGATCAAGTTGGAGCCTCCCAGGAGAGTGGCACTGGCCCAGAGTGGCCAGGAAGTGGCTGTAGTCTCCAAGAGCTGAGTGGGGACTTTACCTTCCCCAGGACATGAATGTACCAACCTCACCCAACCAGGCATCCTTACCCACCAGGCCCCTCGAGGTCAGAGTGGATCAAAGGGTGGTTATCATGGGAGGTGTCCCTATTCCTCAGCCAAGGCTCGGAATGAACACCCCTTTATAAGGATATCAAATACAATGCCAGTTGTGGCCACGATGTGGACCCGAGGGCCAATGCTCACCGTGGCTTCCTGCCCCCAAACCTCCCTGTCTTATTCTTGCACACTTTGCAGCCCCTTGGTTCCCGGCTGATGAGCTATAGGAAGTGTGCATGTTTGGGAGATTGGGAGATATAGGCAGTGGGGGACTTCATGATCACTCTGTACAAGGTGTCATATATATATATATATATATATATATATATACACTATATATAAAAAATTATTTATATATAAATATAATTAAATATATATTTATATATATAAATATATATAACACCTATATATATAACCTATATATATAAAATGTGTATATGTATATATAACCTATTTATATATTTATATATATAACAT